AAGTCACTGCGCTAATTAGTTAAATGCACACTTATGTCTTATCAGATACAGTGTTTGATATGGATTTAGAGTATTCACCTCGATCTCCGTATCATCTGATGAGTGCGTAAACATTAAAACTGTCCGTTATTCAACTTACAGTACACACGCAGGTGTCCAGACGTTACAGGGGGCTTAATAAGTCACATGCACGGGGGTCCCGGAAACTCTTTCGTAAAAGGTTGCCGCAATATTTGCGTGTCAATTTGAAAACTATTGAACGCATTTCGGTTTAGATTTTGTGTTGGCGGTTTGCAGTAAAAGCTTTAGAATTGATCTAAGTTCGATCTAACTCCTAATTCACATGAGTCTCACTTCAACTATTAACGAAGCTGTGCTTAAAACGTAATCTTGTTGATATTCATGTTTAATATAGCGAATGTTGTTATAGGATGGACCGTTCTGGGAAAATCAGGTGAAGTCGTATTTGAACTTATTTTAAATTAATAGGTAATGTTGGCACGATATGAACTGAAAAGAAATTAATTCAGTTATCTTGTTGTAAACGCCGCCTATCAAATTTAATCAAGTTTCGTCCAGTAGTCCTGATGCTAAATTCATACAGAAGAAGAAACCTTTTTATTTATAAATATCCGAACTTATGTCGACTGAACCTTTGTCACAAGTTGACTATCTGAAATTGCACACAGTTTAGATTAGCATATACACATGCATGCACATACATAAATACATACACATACAAATATACATACATGGATGTCCACACATACTTTTAAAAAAATACTTGTGAATATGTCAGATATTTTACGCCATTACTGAACAAAATGGCTGTGGGAAATTAGACACAAACTTAAAACTAGTTTTTGCATAATGCTATGTTATTTTCCGTGTCCTTTTGTGATCAAAGGAAATGGGAGATCCTGCCAGTAGGTCCACGTGTTATTCCAATACTTTGGGTCAGCAAATTTGTCAGAACGCCTGTTGTTAGGCTTCACCGCAGTGCGCCTATAGGCTGCCATTGTCATCTCCAGAAGCTTCAGCGTGTCACTATTCTTCTGGTATAGGTTTTGCCTCTCGCAAGGATCTGACAGGACGTCGAAGACGCAGGGCTGCTGTAAGGGTCTGCAGGGCTTGAGGGCCGGAGCATTGCAACGGACCGTAGCTTGGATTCGCAGTTCCTCCAGATCGTGTCTGGTAGCTGGAGCCGTGCAGGATGCGACAGCGTCGGCCGTCAAGCTACTCAGAACTGCTGCTGTGTCGTACCTAGGATCGTCCTCGTCAGTACACGGGTTTTCGGTCCACGTGTCCAGGTTTCCAAACAGAAAGCTCCCTAGAACCAAAGAATAACTGTCACTGAACTGGATCTGACCGTCGCATTCGATGCAAAACGCGAATTTCATGTCCCAAGCCAGCGATTACCAAAGTAGAAGCTTTTCCTTTCCGGGGATAATGCCATAATTATAGCAAACATTTCTAAGAAAAGGCCACAACATGTCATATATAATTTAATATGAGAAGTACATAACAGCAATTACTTTTTGAAGACGCTAAACAGCATTTTAAGTCTTTTTTTATTATAGATTCGTGGCCTCGAACTTCTTTTTTCGCATTAATTACAGAATTTGGGAACTACTGTCTCAGACCATATTTAGATTAAACTTCATTTTTGGTGTCTAATCTGTCTGTC